AATTGGATACACCGGAAATTTTCTAAATTTCTTCCGGTTTAAGGACGCTTGTTATTGTTTACATTAGACCACCCATCCATATTTTGGGCACTTACCAAAGTGACTATGTACATGGAAGCGACTATGTGTATGGAAAAAATTCTGCGCCTCCAAAAGGGGGCCATAGTGGTCGTGATCGAGACAAAGAGGTGGTTTTTGCTAAAGGTTTCCCTGTACATAGTTTAACAAAAAATATATTTTAGATAATTTAACACTGGACTAGTTTAAACAAACGATAATAATAGGCTTAAAAGAGTTGTAATCACATGACATTTAAAAGAAAACAAATAATTAATTAAAAAAGACAGTCATCAAAAGCCCCTACATCTATTTAAGAGCCCCTACCATTATCGTGTGGACTTTGGCCAAGGTGTGGACATTCATAGTAAAAGGAAATGCGTTACTTTCACTTCTTGAGCCTAGATGGAGCTGGGGACAGAGCACTAGCGTCTCATTGAAGTGAACCGGGTTCTAATCCCACAACCGGCTCGCAGCGACCACAGTGCAAACGTAAAATATTCTCAATGGTAGAAGAATCAGGAGTTAGAGTACTCTCGCCATCAGACTAACCGTGGAAGGTTTTTGTGTATTTTCTCCCCTAGTAAAGCAAATGAGGATTAGTTCCATCAAAAAGTCCTCCACGAAGGCAAATTTCTCCCAATACTTGATCCAGGAGTTTCCTTATCGTTTTGATTGGAGTCAAAGCAACAAGGCTACTGAATTTAATATTGGTAGACGTAAATTCAAAATTGAGTCAGCTCTGTTTAACGACGGTTATAAAATTTCTTTACTTGATTTTCAAATAGATTAAAAACTTTTAAGTTATCGGAATCAGAACGGCATTAAGCATCTCATATAGCACAGAATCATTCAGTGAATGTCCACTTGAAGTTTAAAAAAATCGAATGTTTAAGATGATTTATAAAATTCTTCAGCCTCCTAACTGCTCAGCAAATGAAAAAAAATTATCCTAATAACTAGATTTTTTAAATCAAAATGTCCTTTTAAAGCATAAATGTGATGAAATTAGCATTTGCATTTTTCTTAAATCATGAATTCTCTTTTAATAAACAGAAAAAGAATTATTTACGGATTGAATCAAATCAGTAAAAATCGCTTGTGTGATGATATTTGACTAATCGATTTATAGCTATTTGCTTACTTGTTGACTATTTGATTTAATGAATAAATACATAAACAGATAAACTTTTTTAATATTTGGCCAATTATCTATACTAAATTTAATTGAATTAGTTAATATAATTAATTTAATATAATCACACTTAGAGAAGTAATGTGTTTAAAAATCAAATTACTAATCAGAAGCATACAAAAATTCCTGATTTTATCTCTAAATATTATTTCCAATAAGATTGGATACAACCTGAAATATTTTACTGTAAAAAATGAACATTATTCACATAAACTTTCATATATTATTATTTTTTTCATTATAATGGGGAACAATGGAGGCATAATTATCTCTGATTACGCCTAGGGTCTCTACCTCACGCATTTTAGTCTCTAACAAATCACAGAGCCCTCCAAGTGATTTTCTTTTATTTCAATCGTTCTGAGGGGCAAGCGAAAGTGGATCTCTTACATACACTTGAATGAATAGCTCCCGTCTTCCTAATCTACTTTTAAGTTGGCCTATAGGTTTTTTCTATAGCTATCTCCATTTGTATGAAAACTTTTACTCAACTCCTCAGTAATTTCTTTCATGCATGGCTTGTGATAGATGCAAAATTTTATCATGATTCTCCAAATTTGGATCTTTACCAATTTTTTAAAATTGTCCCCAAAAATTTGACCATTTTCTGATATCTCCAATAAAATTTGGGAGTTGAATTTCAGGATAACGTAACAACGTATTTCTTAACAAAGCATTCTCACCAAATACAAATTCTTGTTCCTCAGAAGTTACAAATTTTTTTAAGTTTGTCCTAAGAATCGCTAACAATCAATGTTTGTTTCCGATTCATCAAGTTCAGCTTCGCATGTTGCTTCATCAACTTCATTAGCATTATTGTCTCTGTTTTTTATTTCAGCGTCTATCAAAAAAAAAAAAAAAAAAAAATTCGTTTTCTGTTCAGTAAGTTTAAGTTTAATTAACTTGTCATCACTATTTAAATTAGTTTTCTTTATCAAAGTCATTGCAAGCTGTAAAGAATTATCATCGAGATTGTGTTCGAGATTTCTTTAACTCGTCAATGTCGTTAGAAGCCACATTAATAAAGAAAGAACAAATTTTCACTCTAAAAAATCGTTTGAAAACTGTAGACTTATTCAATCACAGATTTAACAGTTCTGTCTCATACACTAGATGTTTCTAAATTAGATAGACACAGACGCAGAATATCAAGAAGTAATCATAAAACACTTTATTTGACTACAAATGCAGAATATAGACGAACAATGACGGACAGACGATAGACAATTAACAAATGTAATTTCGTGAAAATAACTCAATGAAATGGTATATTAGCTAAAATGATGCTGATGATAATGAAGATAATGACATTAAGTAATTCAGGTGAGTTTGAAGAGAAAATTTGTTTTAAATACTTAATAGATTTATTGTTAAAAAAGGCTACACCGTTGTTATATTTAGAAAGAACTTGCTTTTTCGGCAGTCATTATTTCTTCTTGTTACTAGCAACGCACAGCGCATACCTTTGTTTGCATACATTGAATACTGTTGACGAGGTAATAAGTGCTAATAATAATTTTTAATAATAATTTTTACACATATAAATTTTAAGTATTTTTTATTTCTAAAACCACATGATCATGTTTTTTCCACCATTAAGAACATTATAATATGATTACGTATACTTTCTTCATTATTTAAATTTTTTTTTCATTATTTTTTTTTAACGCAGTGAGCAAGTTGAGCCAAATGGCTTCAAAATACACCGAATACAGTAACCTGGAAATATGGGTGGAAAAGAGCCTACAGCACTCCCTAGTGTAGAAAACACCATCCATAGAGCTTTTAAACTTGTCAGACACTTCATAGAAATAGTTCTCAGGCCGATGCCACTTGCCCATTGAAAAGATGTAGTGCGACGCAGATAAAGTACCTATCTAAACATTCTTGCAACTCGAGGAAAAGACAATCCGTGACCTAATAACCTAATACCAGTTCAACGTTTATAAACAAAAATGCGTCTTAAAGTCGAGTTAAGTTTCTTCTCACAAGTTATAATGTCAATTAACGGAAGTTAATTAAATACGAACAAGTATCGCACATCGAATTTTTTGAAATATAATTCTTTCTAGTTTAAGTCTTTGCTAACAACCGCTGGGTTTCAGCAACCAATCAGGATCGAGATATCCACACTACTTTAACTTTCAGGTTTCAGCAATGTTAATTTAGCTATGCAAGCTACAAGCAGCCAATGCCGAATTAAAAATGTTTGCAATAAACATGACTGCAACCGAGTAAAAATGTTTATAAATAAATAAACTTTTGGTCAGCATGCCATGTGTTGCTTGAATGTCGATATAAATTCTGAATTATATTTTTAATTCTATGATATAAAACTGAAAAATGTCTGGAGAAACTGCATTAGCTAGACAGTTGAAGAAATTAGCAGCTCCACAGTCGAGTTTGCTTTTACAAAACAGACTTAGAAAATCATTGCTGTTTGATCCTGGATACGCCGCCACATTAGATCGTGATATAATTTTTGCCTATGGAGTGTGCGGTATAGAGAAACTAACAGAAATAAATCCTCTTTTTTCCATATATAAGGAAAGTTTGTTCAACAACAATTTTTGCGAGTTAGAGCGATCTGTACAAACAGCTAGCATTAATAAGAAATTGGATGACATCATCGAACAGTTCCTTCGGATGCTTTCTCCATACTTTTTAAATGCAGCATCAGCCCAAGCTTTAGAGTGGTTGATCTTTAGGTATCATATACATCTCTATAATACTGATGAATTGATTGCCTGTGCCTTACCTCATTTTAATACCTCACATTTTGTGCGTGTTATACAAATAATAAGTCTAGAGGATGATAAATCACGATGGTTTTGGTTGAAATCAGTACAGAAATCTGGCCAGCCCTTAGAATACCCTGTTATTTTGAACCGGTTTATTACGGATGGTGGTTTTAAAACTTTTGTGTGTGATTTGGCCCCAAATGTGCTTAAAGTGTATGAAGCAGATGCATCCGTTGCCACTACAGTTGTATCCTTTTCAATGCAAATCCTATATGATGCCATCAACAAAAAATCTAAAATGGACGATGGTGACTTAGTGTCTTATATACCTTACATTGTAAATGCTCTCAGATCGGACTTTAATAAGTATACAGCTGCTGCCTATCTTGTACTTTCATCTATCTTAACAAAGGTGAGCATTGATGATAAACCTTTAACTGATTTGTTAATGAAAGTGTTTGAAAAAGTTGACGAGGATCTCCTAAAAAGTGCTTTTGAACTCTTGTTAATTGCATACCAGTATCAACCTGTTAAGAGTATGGATAAAAAGCTTCTGTTCTTGATTCTGTCTCAAACAAAATGCATTGATTATTTATTGAGGTTAGCAGAATATGATATGCAACCTCTTTTCGGGGCTATTATTAAGAGATCGATCAGTACTATCTTTGAACTGTGTGCGAAAAATTCCTTGTCTTCTAAATTTAAGATGTTGATCAAGTTTTGTGCAAAAGTGCTGAATGAAGTCAAATTGCCTGAAAAATTGGTCACGTTGCTACTGAGTCTTATTGTACAGAACTTTTTTAAACATATCGGCGTGAAGAAAAAGATGAATAAAGATGTCAGAAAACGTGCTAAGATAATGATTAGGAAAATAGAAATTCAATATCCTGAAAACTTAGATAAATTTATCAACAAGTTTCTTTCCAAAAACGATGAGAAAATCTGTCAAAGATTTATGAAACTGATTAACTTTTCTGTCTGTGGCATTAAGAGTTCCATTGTACAGGGATCTCAAACTTCTCTTATACTTGGATTAAATCATGCCAATGAAGACATAAGGAAGATTTCTGTTGGGTTTTTAATACAGAAGGCCATTGCTCAAGAAGTTGACGATTCTCATTTTGTGAAAGAGATTTTACAATCTAAACTTTTCGACGACTCACCCTCTGTTGTTTTGGAAGTTTTAAATAATACAGATGTTCTTTTCGAGTATGTTGAAAAAGCCGACATTATCTCAGGATTGTCTCATGTGTTGCAAAGATTGGTCAAAAAGTCTTCTCCTTGGTATCCTGTTCAGATGGCTTCTATCGATGTCCTTTGCAACCATTTCGCACATGAAGAGTTTTCGTTAGAAGTTTTTATTTGCCTGTTGCCTTTCATTTTCCCACTCAAGAAATCAGCCAATGAGGGTTATTTAAAAATTTTGAATTCTAATTATGGCTCAAAGCTCAGTCCTACTCAGAGGGTAGGACTCAATTGTTCAACAATATATGCTATCAATGCGTACATATCATCTTTATCTACGTCTGAAAAGTCCATGTTTCTTGCATTACTCTCAGAAAGATGTATTAAAACATCGTCCTATAGTTTGTATGTGATTTACATTCTTTCTGCAGGACATGCTATTGTTTCCGAAGAGAGACTGGAAGAAATATCAGTTTGGATTCAACAACTGCTTTGTTTAATCAACCAATTGCTGTCTCACTCGTCATTGGATTTTGATAAATTTGATGAGAAATCCACAGAAGAAGATTTTGTAAAAAACATATCGAATTGTTTGTCAAAAGAGCAATTTCCTATTTCCGCTATTTACACTACTCTCCACGGTATAGTGAAATACATAAAATTAAACTTTAATAAACATTTCAGCATGTGGCTCCCCAATGATGGCCGTTCACCTCAGGTTTTATCTTTCAAGACACTAATGTATTTGTTTGAATTTTGCATTCTGCAAATGAATTCAAAGAACAGGCTGTTGTCAGAAGCGTTCCATACTATATTCTCCCAATTGATAAGCTCCCAATTCACATCTCTCAAAGAAATGTTTGCCTTTTTATCCGTTCTGTGGTCCGACATCCCAGAGAAATTCGCTGCGGAGATTCAAGTCACCTCTTTCTGCATGGCCAAATCATTTTCTCAGGTGTCTTTCAGTTATTCTTGGTGTTTTGAAAATATTCCTCTATGCCTCAATCTGATGAACGCTGTGTCTTCGCCTTTGCAAGTCATTAGAGATCATGCTTTGAGTTTAATATCTCTTCTTTTACAGAACTCTGAGGATTGTGTAGTGCCATTGAGACGTTTGTTTCGAGAAATTTTTGAACACGCTGAAGAAATATGTATTGATCAAGAGCAATTTTACGGAGTCCTATCGGGGTTCTTCAAACCTGCTTGCGATCTTGTAAACTTTGAAGATAGGTCCAAACTTTCACATGACCTTAATGTGAAATGCAGTATTCTTCTAAGTTTTTTGGAAGTACTTAATTGCGATTTGACTCCTCTCATCATCAAATACAAACTGTTGAAATTTTTTCAATATTTAGATAGTGTAAATATTCTCACTACTTGCATTCCTCTTATGCGTAAGTTTTTGAATATCTTGGAGCAAACAGAAGATGAAACTATCTTGAATATAATGGAACTGCTTATAAAAAAGTACACTCCTAAGACAGCTCTAAGTTTAAAAGAAAATTGTAAAGAAAGTGATGTGTTACTGGAATGTTTAACTTTTTCACATGGTTCCTCAAATGAAAGAAACATTCAAAAATTCACTCTGAATGTTCTATCTAAGGACTTTTTCTCTTCTATTCCATCTATATTTATCCAGAAAAAGATACTTAGAACTTTATTGGACCTTTATGCAACCCCCTCTGGTAACTTAGCTGTTAAAAAAGTGCTTACTAAGCTGTGTACTTTTGTGCATTTGATACTGAAAGATTTCTTAAGTGATGGTGGTCTTGCGACGTTGAAAGATGTTAAGAAATCGAGAAATGATGTAACACAAGGGACGGATTGGAGAAAGCTCTCTTTACTTCTAGAGATAATTCAAAATAAGTCAAAACTCAGTAAAATTGACCAAATTATTCCAGAACTGTTTGCTATTTTAAATAAGACCTTAAGCTCTGACAATCAGTCATCAATCGAATATCTCAGACAATTGCTTTTGTCATCTATTTATAATTGCTGTCAACAGCTTGGAAGTAAAGGTTTAAATGAGAGTCAGTTTCAAGTGGAACTCATCGTTCAATGCATAAGATCATCTAAGAATCCTAAAACGCATCAGCAATCCCTGTTACTTTTGAACCTGGCAGCGATGTTACTTCCTGAGTATGTCTTAAAAAATGTCATGTCTATTTTTACATTTATGGGCTCTAATCTTATTCGTCAGGATGACAGCTACAGTTTTCAAGTAATTTCTCAAACGATCGAGACTATCGTTCCGTCTTTGCTCGAAGCAAGTTCTCACCAAAAAGATGCAGATCCCGTCCAAATAGTTGGTGAAGTCATTCGTGTGTTTGTTGATTCGTTGACCGATATCCCTCAACATCGCCAGATGCCTCTTTTCACCAAGTTGATTTCAACCTTAGATCCATCTCAGTTTTTATGGCTACCTTTAGGACAAATATGTGATCAGTATGCGACTCTTTTTCATGACTTGCTCTCACAAGATTCCAAGAGTTTGAAACTCTCCCCTACTTTGGAATTTGCTGTCAATTTTCACAAGCAATTCACGCCTATAGTTCAAATCAACACTTGTATCAACTTACTTGTATTTTTGATTCAGTTGCCTGATACTAAAGAGGAAGCCAATGAAAATTATGGCCACTTTAAAGAACCATTTAATGTTGCCAATCATACGAATGAACAGCTTCAAATTTACAAGCACAATGTTATTTCCTACATTAATATTTGGTTATCATCCAATACATTTATCACCCAAGTTTCTGAATTAGACTCTAACTCTCAATCTAATCTTGACTCTAAATATGTTGTGTTGCTGGAAAAAGCTTTAACTTATTTGCAGCGTCAGTCGAATAAGAACTCGGAGTGCAATGTTTTCCCTCTTCTCGTTGATTTGGTTTGCCACGTGAATTCTATGTTGCCTCCTCGGCAATTTATTAAAGCCCTGCGAACCTTACTGGATCACTCCGAGCCAATCATTAAAAATAAAGCGGTTGAAATCCTAAATGCTAAATTAGAGAGCCATTATCACCATGATTTGTCCAAAGAGGAAAACCATAAGTATTTGCTTAAGCTTTTGAAACCACTTTTAAAATTATTCAAAGATTTGAGTGTTGAGCAAGAGAATAACAAAATAAGCCAACAAACTATTCTCTATTCTTTACATTTACTGACAAAAATTATTGGCTCGTTATATCCTTCAAAATTTTATAAAGTGTTGATTGTGACTGTAAACATATTAAATAGCAATCAAAGCCAAGAACTAACTGTTAATGCATTACTATGTCTTGCACAACTGTGTTCATCTCTAAATGTTGAGGTACTTCCTCAACTAAATGAGTTTATGCCAGCTATTATAAATATGTTGACTGACAGCAAAGCGTTAGATATGTCCGAATGTCTTATTATGGGAATTGTTGCTACTTTGCAAAGTTTGATCGAGCATTTAGGCTCCTTTTTAAGTAGTTACATGCAGGAGTTGGTAACTGGCATTTGCCTGTTGTCATCTAAGTGCAAACAGGCTGGTAAGAAGAATGCTTATGAAAAATTTCTCTCTCTTCAAGCATTGTTAGCCAAGGAAATGCCTTTGCGAATTTTGTTAACAGCTTTAGACAACAGCTACTCGTCCCTTCTGATTATTTGTCCCAGTTCAGTCGTTTCGGTGGCTCATATTCTGAACGAAAAGTTACGTGCTTGTGATTATGAAGACGTTAAAGCCGGTTTAGTTTCGATTGAAAAGTTGTGCCTCTCTCTTTTGGCCTTCAGGAGCACACAAGGGAAGAAAGCGTGCTTGACTTTCGATTCAATATCTTCTGTAGAATCCGGCATTATGGATGTGTTGAAAACGTTTGTCATGAAATTATCTGTAAGTTTGTTTGAAAAGTTTTTCAAAAAGATATTCCAGTGGGTTTCGAATGTCGAAGAGGACGAAGAACGAAAATGGCGATTGTTCACATTCTATCACCTGACGTATGAACTTTCGAACTGTTTGAAAAACTTGTTTGTCGTTGTGGCTAAATGCTTCTTGCGACATTCTGCTGCTCTGTTGAACTCCAGTAATTGTCCAAAGGACGCAAGTTTATATGGAGATGGTGCTATCTTTTCCCAACTATTGTCTAATGTTCTTGATACTCTTAATAACTGCTTTATGTATGATGATGGCCATCTTTTAGATAAAGAGCACTTTGAGTTGCTGATGCAGCCTTTAATCGACCAACTGGAAAATTGCTCAGACGCTGATCCAGAAAGGTTCAGCAAACACTTGTGTTCCTGTATTGCACATTTTATGAACGCTGTGTCCGACAGTTCATTGTGGAAAAAGGCAAATTACCAAATTCTGTTGAAAACGAGACACAGTTCTGCCCGTGTACGATTCAGTGCCATTCAAGTTGTTCGTGAAGTTGTCCGAGTGATGGGTGACAGTTATCTTGTATTGCTACCTGAATCGATACCTTTCCTTGCTGAAGTAATGGAAGATGAAAGCTCAGAAGTGGAACAGGAATGCCAATCAGTCATTTTAGAAATGGAAAAAATTTTGGGAGAACCCATTAGGAAATACTTTTGAGCGTGTAAATGATTAATAAATTTTATAGCAATTCAAGTTTAATTTACTTATGTTTAGTGTAATTTTTTTGAAGATATTTTTGTTGTTATGTGGTATAGTTGTTAAGGGTAGCAATTATTATAAATCTTTCTTAAATAGGGAAGACCTCGAAAATGCAGGGAATTTTAAAATCACCTAAAATAGGGGTGCACAACCTGTAGTCTGCAGGCCACATCCGGCACGCCAACTGTTGATGTGCGGCCCGCGAGAGCTTCTGAACGCAATAAAACAATTTCTTTTAATTTTTTTTTCTTTTTTTTTTAAACATTGTACATTTTCTTTAATTAAAATATTTAACGCAAATTTATATTACTTTATTAAATGCATATATTTTTTGCACTTTCATTCTGTAAGCTTCTTTTTGGTTAGAATTTACATCCCCCTCCCAATAATTATGTATATATAAATATTTAATAAATTAATTATTGTAAAAAATTGAAAAAGTTTTTTTTTTAAAAAAGTATAAATTTTTTTAGTTTTAAATAAATTGAAATGATTAAAAAAGCTTAATTTCCTGCAAATATGTTATTAAGTTCACTGATAAAAATATTTAATGCATAGAACATTAATGTATCTATAAAAATTATATTTGCCGCTGACATGACTAAATATGTGTGCGGCCCTTTGTTAATCTAAATGCTGTGCAAGTGGCTCTTCACTCAAAAAGGTTGTGCACCCCTAACCTAAAATAATGGAATTTTGATTCTTTCTTGACAAATTTGGAAAATATAGGGAATTTTATTTCTTATTTTTGTCTTTTAAAAAATTGTGACCACTCAAAGAGTAATCTTTGGGATAGTTAAGTGCGATATTTCAGCTATACTAAACTATTCCATTTATTATAGCATTATATACCATTTATTATAGTATGTTCAGCTGTTTTTTTTTCCTCTAAGTTTTTCCAGCAATTGAAAGCTAATAAATATAGTTTGCCCAATCTAGCTCACGCAAGAGCACCATAATTGGTGTTTCCTTTTAATATATTGTGTATAATATGTACAGGAAAAACACAGAGAATTTTTATCCCCAGGTTTGTGTAGCAACCCTGTTAAAATAATTTGATTTTGCATTGAGCCTTAAACGAGATTGTTGATGAAAGATCAAAATATTTCTTTCATTTAACTTTAGCTGAGGGTTTGAAAAATCTTCTAAAAGAAAGTTACAACCCTTCATTCCTGTTAAATTAGTCTATTATATGAATGTATCTAAATATGACTAAATGTTGACATGCAACAAGTTATACATTAGTTAGACAACATAGTTATCCAGTTTTTATTCATACATGCAAAGTATTTTCCTATGAAGACACTTTGTGTTATATATGATGTGAAGCACAAATAATCAACTGTAATTTCTTGTTAGACCTTTAGGAAATTTCTTGTTTATAATTTTTTTAACTATAATTTAGATATATAACGATAGTTTGATTTTTGTGCCACTTGACTTGACAAAATATTTTTGACGCAAGAATTTTTTTTTTTTACTTATAAAAAATTATAATAATTTGACTATTAAAAACCAGGGTTTGTTGATTTAAATCAAATGATTTTTTTCATATATATATCGATTTAAAAAGTTAAAATAACAGTGTGTTAAATTACTGATTCTTTTATTATTTCTTTTCTAAGTTTTAAAATTTATTTTTAGTAAATNATAATATGTTTACAGTATCTTCGACATTATCTGATTTTCTATAAAGAAATTTTGTGAAAAAAAATTCCAATGAGTACATAGATTTTCTAATTTTTTTTTTAAGCTTAACTTATCTATTTTGATATAGAATTAAAAATGAATATTTTAATATAAAAATATATAGATTAAATATTTATTTATTTTTTGATAAATGACTACATTTATAAACACAATCTGTTTGATTTATTTTATCATTTTAAAAGTCAAAAGAAAAAAGAACAAATCACAATTTTAAATAAAAATTATGGTTTGGTAATTGAAACTTTGTTTTAAAAGTTAAAGTATTCTTTAAATTCTCTATTTCATCTAGTCTTTAAATTTCAATCATGCATTTGTTTCTAAATGGTTACTATGCATTCAAAGCTATGTATTATAATGAAAAATTGTTTTAGGTAGTTAGAGCTTCTAAAATATTCTTATAATATAGTTTTATTATTAATTTAATTTTGATTAAACATTTATAAAGTATTTTTAGTCATAAATCAAAGTTCTTACAGTGTATTTGAATAAAGATAAATAAAAAAATGTTTTTTTTTTAATCACAAACCCTGTTAAAAACCTGTAATTCTTTAAAAACGAAGATGATTTTCTTAAATTGGTATATCCCTGCTTTGAAATTCTTACATATTTATACTTTAAAATTAATTAAATTGTGTTGAAAAAAGGTTTAGCTTTTTTATTTAAATTGTGTGATTTTTAGATTTCTCTTTGGTCAGAGAGAAACTGAGATTTAAGTGTGTGTAATGTTATGTGACGATAGATCTAAATTAAGTTGAGGAAAACTGCAATTATTTTATTTAATTTTTTGGATTAGTATGTAAAAGGTCTGACCCTCTCCTCAATTTTTTTTTTTAAATAAGTATGTTGAATTCAATAGCTGCAATTTTACTTCAAATATAAATATTATTATGTTTTTATTCTAAGTTAAATGAAATGATAGTGAGTGGGCAATTACTAATTGTTATTCAAAAATATTTTTAAATTTTTTTTTTCTTAAAATTTCTTTAGCTTTTATGATTCTGTAAAAAAAAACTTTTTCTCTTAAAATATTTACTTTATTTCATTAGTTGCATTTTTATTCACTGTTAAAATTTTCTTTGAAATAGAAAACTTAAGTTATACATATTTTAAATTACTTGACTATAGCTCAGAGTTAGTTCTCCGGAAATGTTGGGGAAAACATACTATAATTGTTTTGAAGTTTTTTACCCCACAAAAAAGACACAGTATTTTGTACTTTTGTTTTCGGTTGCGCTAAATTATATTAAAAAGTATTAAAATTGCCAAACAGGCGATCACTTTGTATACTAATGAGATTCCTTTTTTTTGTTCTAGCATTTCTCAAGATACGAGACAGGATTACTAAAAAAACTTTTTTTTTTCTTCATGTTCTAAAAATATTCAAAAACAGTGGTAGAGCAGAATGAGTTAAAGACGTACCGCTAAAATTACTATTTGCATCTCATGCCGACCAATTTTTGTTGGGGTCAGGGAACTGCCCTTCCATTAGAAAGGTTCCGTATTCGAATCCAGGACAAGGCATGGATGTTCTTTCATTCTCAGTACTATCTGTCCTTTCTGCGGGAGCAACATTGGTCCACCTATGTATATGGTGCCCCTGAGAGAGTGGCCAACAAATATTTATACATAAATTTTTTTTTTGGAACGGCAGGCACTGAAATGTCGTTTTTCAACTAGGAAGAAGCCGGAGGTATTACTCATTTAACGTTACCCAGTGGGAACCTGTGAATCTAAGCCACACTGCCACAGATACCCGTTTTATAGGGTGGGCCACATTCACACAACAGAGAGAAACATCCATGCCCTGAGCCGGATTCGAACCCGCAACCATTGGCACAGTCAGGCACGCTGTCCGCTCGACCGGCGGCCAACAAATATGCCCTTCAGTTGCCTGTATTGAAGAAGTGTTATTCCCCATTATTTATGTCATTAAGTTTTAAGGTAACATAAAGTTGAGATTTTTGACATTTAAGACTGGTTAATTAAAAAATTTTTTTTTAGTTACTCTAACGTGTTTTGTCCTTTGCCATTTCAGTTTTTTATTTTTAATATGTTAAGTGTAAATTATAGTTTGTTACCCTCTTTTATTGTTATGTCCCGCAGTGGACTAATCGTTAAGACACGGTTCCCAGCAAATCACCGAAGTCAAGCATCACTGGCTGCGGTCAGTGTGCGGGTGGGTGACCACTTGGATCAGTCTGCGTAGGGACCGAGGGTGTGCGGTATTGGTCCTCGTTAAACTGTGCTACCGTAAAGTGCTCGTCTTCGCGCTCAGGTCGTCGGGCTACCGAAGCGGGGGCGCCATCACCTTCGCAGAGGATCCAAATTGTGATGGCATGTCTTCGGATCATCCTCCGGGATGTTTCCCAGACCGTCGCCAATAGCCCATTGTGCAGCTCTAGTGCGACGTAAATTAACAACAATAAAAAAAATATAATTATTTTATAGGTGTTGATTCTGATAGCAAACAAATTATCTTAATCATTGGTTTTTACATTAATGCTTTAAATCAATTACTTTATTTTTTAGAAAAATCAGATTACTTAAATTGCTAGTTTTAACTTTAAATCTTGACTTTGACTTCTTGAATTTACTTACCATTATATTTACCACCGAATTTTGGCGAGATTTCGTTTGAAAATCAAAGATTTGTAAAAAACTTTTTTAATTTTTTTAACCTTCATATTGATTCATACTACAGGGATGAGTGAGGTTGGTGAAAAAGCTGAAAATAGAATTTTATGTCCAAAATACTTTTTTAAATTGAAAAAATTTGAAGCAAGAAAAAGAAAGAATGCAGGAAGCCTGCAACATTCATAGAATGTTGTTTTAATAAAATACAATATCGAAGTAAGATTTTTATTTATTATTTGAATACGAATCTCAATATGTGATTTTTAAATCAAACATTGACATTATTTACTTAAAATGTCGATATTTAATTTTTAAATCGTGTGAATGAATGTGAGTCTTGATGTTCTTTCTTTTTTAAAATCATGTGAATATGCAAAAAGCGGAAAGAAATTCATCTCTTAAACTAATATGCCTGGAAGTCAAATGCAAAGTAGAGCTGCGCGTAGCAGACAAAAACCTCTTATAAATTTCTGCCAGATTGACCTACGCGTTAAAATAGGAAAATTAAATTCTAATATTTTTTTTATTTGTTTGACAAATTTTCCGCGAACAGCTTTCATGTTTATTACACATATCTAATGTCTGAACACAGAGCCGGATTATACCTTTCGTAGGCCCTAGGCACAGCCGTTTATGGGCCCTCCCCTCCTTCCCCC